AGAATTGTGATGCATAAAAGCTTGAGACTGTATCAACTCAAGGAGACTAGAGAGAAGAGCAAAGAGGGAGGAAGGGACACCAGTGACAGGTGCTGCTGGTGTGCCTGTAATCCTCACTGAGCTGCCTAGATGGAACAATGATTTTTCAACGTGATACAAATGTTATATATTTAAAATATGCTTAGGGAAAAAAAGTCCTTTTTTTTTCTTTATTTTTATGTATATGAATGTCTTGCCTGCATGTATGCAAGTACACCTGGGTCATGCAAAGCCTGCAGAAACCAGAAGAGGGCGTCAGATCCCCTGGAACTGGAGTTGCAGATAGGTGTTAGCTGTCATGTGGGTGCTGGAAATTGAATCTGGATCCTCTGGAGAGCAGCTGGTGCTCTTAACCACAGAGGCATCTCTGTTCTTTCCTCAGTTCTTTAACAGATGTTCAAAGAGAGTTACATCCCAGCATGCTGAATGACAGTAGATATAGGAGTTATATTTTGTTTATGAATGGCTGAGAAAGAAGCTCTTGGCACAAGAGGTGTTGGCCTTTCTTATCATTCTTTTGGGGCATACTGCAGTTAACCAGCATTGTCAAATGTCTGTGCTGCTTTTTATTTTCATAAGCTGTTATGTTGGTGACTGCCTCAAGTCTATATTGCTATATAACAAGTTACCATAAATATAGTAGCTTGGAGCAAGTCACCTTTATTATCTCCCAGTTTCTGTGAGTCAGGAGTCTAGGCTTCTCTGGGCCTTTGACTATGAGTCTCAAGGCTATGATTGAGGAGTTGATCATGCTGTGATTTCAATCTGCAGTTCACCTAGGGGAGAAGCTCCTTTCAGGCTTACTGTAGCTGCTGGCAGAAACCTTTGCTTTAGAACTAAGGACGTTAGCAACATACTGGCTATTGTGGAAGCTGCTTCACTCCGTTGCCACATAGGTTTCTCAATAAGGCTATGTCATTAATCCATGAGGGGGAGTTTCTTTTAGGTCTGCTGATAACATGGAATTTTATTCAGCTATTTGTTGAAAGCAAGTCCTGGGTCCCATCAATACTCAGTGGGAGAGTGTTAAAGATCCGAGTATTAGGAGGATGAAGATCATTGGGTTTGTCTGTCATAGGGTCATTCTGAGGAAGAGGGTGTAGATGCCAAACGATTTCAACCAAAATATCCAATCAGGCTATAAGATTTCAAAGTAATTAAATGCTGGGCTGGAGAGATGGCTCAGCAGTTAAGACGTTATACTCTTCTTGTAGAGGACCCAAGTTTGGTTCCTGGCATCCATATCAGGCAACTCACAACCATCTGTAACTCCAGCTCCACAGAGATCTTTGGGCACCTCATGTGATCATACTTCCCCCCTCCAATAATTAAAAATAAAATAAATCTTAAATTTAAAAAAACAAGACATTAAATGAGCACCTCACATTCTAGATGTTTCTGTTGCTCTTCCCTCATTCTTTGGGTCTTAATTTCTTTTAATGCATACTGTTATCTTTCTGATCCCTAGTGAGCTTTCTATAAGTGGCTATGATAGGGAAATATATTTAATTATTAATTACTACTGCTATATAATCATAGATGAGTGAACTTTTTACTTTTATCCTTTAAAAAACTCAACTAGTATTTCTCACTTATTATTATTATGATGGTAATAACTTTTTTGCCAGTAGATCAGTGATTTTGAATAAAAAAAAAATCTCTCCTCCCCATTGCTTTATGCCTTTATTGTTAGGGACCACTGTTGACTGCTATTAAAGGACCTCTAATTCAGGCAAATCTTTCCTCTCTCATTTTTAATTGATTTAATTGACTTCTATGCTCAGTTTCCCAGAAGCCTACTGACAAGTATATAGTATAGACATGAGTATTGTTATTACAGAATAATAAAGAAAATATCCTGCTTGGACTTAAAAAAATAATGGGCATTCTGGAGTCATTCATAGTAGGAAATTTATTTATTTATTTATTTATTTATTTATTTATTTATTTATTTATTTATTTATTTATTTATTTATTTATTTATTTATTTATTTATTTATTTATTTATTTATTTATTTATTTATTTTAGTGGCTGAACAAATCCCCCCTCAACTTGGCTCTACCTCCTCCTACCTTAAAGCCCTAGGCTGATGACTATTTCCAGGTTTCTGCCTCCTGGGAAGAGACCACCGAGTTCAAGTCCAGAACAATGACTGACTACATCATGCTAGACCAGTCTCTTGTGACTGCAGGCGACAGACCACAATTAAACTAATTCATTTAATAGTGTATACAGAGGGAGGAGGGCTTATTGAGGAGATGCCTAGGTAGCAGTGGATGAATGGAGTCAGTGAATCCTTCTGCATTCTATTCTTTGCAAAGGGGCTCCTTCCCTCTGTAACACTTGTTTAAGCTCAGAGGGCGATGCTTCTCCTCAACACTGCAGGCAGGTCCCTTCCTTTGCCTCCTCTGCTAACTTGCCTTCTCATCCTGCTCATACCTTTTGATCTAGTTAACTTTTGCATATACTGCAAGATTCAGTTTAGATGATCCTTCTCTTGCACTTCTTCCTTCATCTCCAACAAAGGCACATTTCTTATATGTGTTTTTAAAAAATATCTTGTGTAAGCCACTTGCCTGTGCATTTATCAAACTTTGTAGTACTTTCTTGTTTGCTTACATGTTTCTCAACTGTACTGTGGGTTTATAAAGGATGAGAACCATGTCTGACACATTCTTTATCTATTCTTTCTCACTAACAGAGGGAAATGTTTATGGAATGAGTGACCTTGAGATCTCTGCTCATTTTGGTGATATTATTTTGCTTTCTAGCTGGACTTAGGACATTTTACTACTTATGAAGACCTTTATTCTAAAACCAAAGTGACTTTGAAAATCTCGTAAAGAAAGCAGGCATGGTGGCATATGCCTTTAATCTCAGGACTTCGAAAACAGAGACAAGGTAGACCTCTGAGTTCGGGCCAGCCTGGTCTACATAGTGAGTTGCAGGTCAGCCAGTGCTACATAATAAGACCCTGTCTCAAAGAACAAAACAAAGCAAACAAACAAAATTCAGTAATGTAAATATCTTTGTAAAAAACTTATTAAATCTTTTGTTTTGGAAATAAGAGTTTGTGTAGTATAAAAATAAAAATAACTGGGCTGGAGAGATGGCTCAGCAGTTGAGAGCACTGGCTGTTCTTGCAGAGGACCTGAGTTCAATTCCCAATACCCACATGGCAGCTAACAACCATAGATAATTCCAGTTCCAGGGGATTGATACAACAACCTCTTTTGATCTCCACGGACATTGCACAACACAGGTGCACTAACACACATGCAGGCAATACACTCATACACATAAAAATAAAAATATATTTAAAAACCTTATAATGTGCTTATAAAATATGTAATTAATAAGTATCCTGATTAACTGTATAGTTGATAGGAACAGTGTACTGGGGATTGGTCAGGAAAGTACCTAGCTAGGCATTTTGATTTTTAGTGGTTTATTTTTCAACCTTGTTTTCACTGAATCAACTTAGTTTGATTTTCAAGGTAAATTTAAAAATGATATGTGCAGATGTTAGTTTCCTCCTCCTTTTTAGGGATAGCCATAATTTCATCATCTGTAGTAACTCCTTAGTATAGTTACAATATTTGTTCTTCATTTGTTCAAAGTTGAAATCCTACTTGTTGACTGGTCAGGGTCTCTGATATGTAGGTCTCAAAAACACATTCAAGAGCACCTTCCCTTTCTCACTGATAATTTTATTTTTTAAAAGAATAATTTATGCTTTGACACACACACACACACACACACACACACATATTTTGATCATATCCAACCCAAATCCTTCCTCGCTCCCCCTGAACTCCCTAGTAGTTCCTCCTCCCATTTTCATGTCCTCCTCTTCTTTAAAAAAAAAAAAAACATGCGGCCTAAGTGTGGGGTTCATCCACCAGAGCATGAGCAACATACAAGTGGACACACCCACAAAGAAAAAAATGACTCTTCCCTCCATTAGTAGCTATCACTTGCCAATAGCTCCTTAGCTGTGCATGCTGGGTTGTTGACCAGCTTGATCCTGTGCAGGTCTTGTGCAGGTAACCATAGCTGCTGTGAGTTCATGAGTGCAGTGGCTATGTCATGTCAGGAGATGGCATTTCACAGCACTCTCCCCATCCTCTGGTTCTTAGATTTTTTTTTTTCCCTCTCCTCTTCTGTGATGTCTCCTGAGCCTTGTGGTAGGGTGCTGATATAAATTTCTGCTGATATAAATGTCTGTTGAGTGTTGGGCTGAACACTCAACAGTCATTTTTAGCACTTTGACCTATTATAAATCTCTTCATTGACTACTGTCTACTGCAAAAAGAAGCTGCTTTCACCAAGGCTGAAAGCAACACTAATCTATGTGTATAAATATAAACCTTTAGAAGGTGGTTTGACAACATATCTGTTTAGCAAAACAACAATAGATTCCCCCCATCCCCCTCAGCACCTTTGACCTTTGCAGTCATGGGCTTTTGACCAGGTTTACAGTATCACGCATGAATTCTCTCCTGTGGAGCAGGCCTCAAATCCAAGCAGAAAGTGGTTAGTTACCCCTATAACAGTCATGCCACTGTTGTGTCAGTAGGCACATCTTGCCTGAAGATCAGTATTGTAGCAGGCATGATCCACTGCTGGGTTCAGCCATTGGGTAGCCAGTTTTGATTGGAATCTTTGGGGCTTATGAATCCATGAAAAACATTCACAACAATGTATGGAGAGGTGGAAACTGAAAAGCTGCTCATTTTTTATATTCATAGTTGTCTCATGATGTAGAACTTGAGATTTAGCTTTCTGAGTCAATGCACTAGTTCTTAATTTTAATAGGACTTTGCTATGGTTCTAGGAATTCTAGTCATGAGAACAAGTAATTTCACCAGCAATAAAAATGAAAGAATTAGTTTTACTGATATACTCATACCTCTCTTGTTCTTTTCTCTTTCTCTTTTCTTTTTTCTTTTTTTTTCAGTGAGCATGTTTTTGAACACATTAACACCGAAGTTCTACGTGGCCCTGACAGGCACTTCCTCACTAATATCAGGGCTAATTTTGGTAAGTGGTGGAATCCTTCTAATTTAAAAACATGTTAACATGTATGTTAGTATGTTTTCAGGAAAGAAATCAGAAGGAGTATACACCAGTAGTTTGTGGTCATTATCTTGAATAGGTGTACGCGCTGGATGGGGAACTTACAAGACTTGTACTTATCCAGGTTACATGGTTTGGGACAATTGAAAAAAAATGCAATCCTGTATTTATTTTGTTAATAGGAAAAACAAATGTGAATATAATGGAAAAGAATAGAAATAATTCTATTTCAAATTCTAGTGCCCTAAGATATTATAAAAGGTATTGGGGCTATAGCTTAGTAGTAGAGAATTTGCCTAATATTCAATCCCCACCACCACAAAAATTAGATGAATTACACATTGCTGATATATAAAAGTGACTCAGTTCAACTAAAAATGTTTTTCATCATACTGTATAATTAAACTTATTTAAGGCTAGTAGGAATATTGCTCTGTCTTTAAATATATGGATATGGATTATGGCAATTTTAAGGTTTTTTCATCCTTTCACCATCATTTATTTCTTTATTGTTTCCTTTAAAAATCGCAAATAGGTATAAAAATAACATGATTATTGTTAGATTTTTGGAAAATAAAAGGAAAGATAGAGGAGTAGGAGACACGGAAACAGAGCCAGCCTGCAACAGGCAAGGAATAGATCTTCCTTTATTCAGTGAAGATACAGTGAGATGTAGAGGCTGTCCATGGGAACCAAGCTTCTACAACTAGACAAAGAGGGGGGCTTTTATACCAGGGTGTTGTGGGACACAGCTGCACTTAGTGGAGAGTTGAGTTAGTGCTGAAGCTTGGTGTCCTTGGAATGTTTGAGGGTCTCCTTTTCAAGATTATTTCCCCAGAAACTGGCAGGAGTGTTATCTATGGCCTTAGAGGAGACAGGTGAGCTCCACAAACACTTTCTCTCAGGCTTGGGAGTGACCAGCTGATAAGGGGTCAGAGCCAGGCTCAAGCAAGGCCAGGCTTCCAATTTAGGGCCACTTAGACACTTTAAGGGATTTATGGCTTTCCCTAGTGAGGCTTGTGGCTCTTCTACAATTCACATGTTCTATCAATTATCATCTGCATCCACTGTAATAGTTGTAGATCTGCAAGATTATAAGACCTAAGTTATTTCATTTTGGTGAATACACGTGGGGGGCTGTCTAAGCTCAATGGGACCACTCAAGCATAATTTAATGATCTTTAAGGTAAAAGAAGTTTTAAAAAGATGTTTACCTGTCTGCATAATCATAGGACTACTGATTGTTAGAGAAATAGGCACAAGTAAAGGGTGACAGAATTTATATTAAGAAAAATGAGTATCAGTAGAAAAATGAAAATTTTAAAGGGAGATGGGTGTAAACACGTAGAACAAAGGGCAAAATATGCCCCCAAAATGAAAGATTTCAGAAACTTGAGCTTATAAGGAGCAAGCAAAAAGGTGGAGGAAGTCATATAGGGCAGGACCTGCAAACAGATGGAAACGGATAGTGGCAGTGCAGGGAGAAGACCTGTGATAAGAGCATACCCACGTTCATCCTGTTCTCACGTGGGTTATGTGAAATGTGTAGAGCTGGTGCTGTGGAGCCAGGATGTGAAGAAAATCAGCAGGAACCACTCCAAGATAGAAATCTCCATAGACAGCCCAGATTGGCTACAAAAAACAACCCGAGGCAAGGGAAAGTATACTAAAATTCCTCCATAAAAGGTAGGTGTTGTAGTTTGTAGCATGCTGCCTCTTAACTACTCACCTGTCCACTGACACTTGTTTCTCTGAAGTCTCTTTTCTGTTCAGGAGACTTGAGAAAAATAGGAGCACTATTGCAGAGAGCTACAAGGTTGGTTATTAATTTATTCTACTCAAGGATTATATTTTATTGTGAGGTTGACTCCCTCCTGACTTTTAACATTAAAATCCTCTTCTGAAATAATGACAGTGTATGGTGTTCTTTTATTATAAGTACTTGGCAGAGAAAATTTATTAACCCACATTCATCTTCAACATGGGTGTAGGGTATGAGGGGAACCAAGTAGATTTAATAGAATATGAAATACAATAATCTGAAAACCACTATAATAAGAGATCAACAAGAATTTACTTTAACTGAATCTGTAGGGTAACACCATAAATCATCTAAAGGAGAAAAAAGTAAACAAATATTTTGATTCTGACTAGGGCAAAGAATAGAGAAAAGATTTTGTGAACTTTTGAAAAGTTCTCTGATGTAAGGGACTTAGGGCAGAGGAAAATGATCAGGCAGAGGATTTGGCTAGTAGAAATTGCACTGCTGGAAAACCACAGAAAATTTTGATGAAATATTGAAAGCATGAGAATGAATAACTCCAAAAGTTTCTAACTTTCTTGGTTAAATGAAAGATTTTCATTAGGGGGCTCTGTGCTTGCTATTTAGAGTTAGGTAAGAAAGTATATCATTAGCATTTGGGAACTGCTCAGTATTCAAGAGAGCATGAGGCAAAGGTGATAACAGAAAGTAACAAGAAGGGGGTCATTTTCAGCCTCCGGTGATTGAAGACAAGACCACAAGGGATCAGGAAGCCTTACACTTTCTAGGATTGTTAGGTCCAAGCCTTTTATTTTTCAGGAGGAAATTTGACACTTCTAAAGGAAAGGAAAGAATTGGGTTCGACTGCTGTAGCTAACTTTGTAGCAAAGTACTACATTTATTTTCAAGTGCCTCCTGTAGTAGAGACTGAGGAGACTTCAGACATAGAAAATGCTTTCACTTGCTTGATACGCTCTATATAAGTACATTATGAAAACAGGTGTAAGTTTGTGTGTGTGCATTAGGATATATCTATATATCTATATCCACATTACCCCCCTGCTCATACACTGAGAAGGGAAAGGTATTCTAAATATCCAGCAGTTATCATGTACACTTTAAAAAAATATATTTTAACATAACATTTTCTTTCTGAAGTAGCCTTGAAATACTTTTGATTAAACAAATTGAAAAGAGCAAATTTTGGGGGGATACAATTTTATATTGAAAGCAGTAACTCACTATAATAGGGAAATGTCAGTTTTGCTCATGCATTCTTCTTCTTAGACTGTTAATGTTCCCTTGAGAACCAGCCTCCTTGGGTGATGCGTGCTGTGCCTGGCCCAAAGTTCTTAATGGATACACATTTACCCCTCACTTCAGCTCAGCTGCTGGTGCTCTTTAATTGTACTTCAGATCAGGCAGGTCAGTACCCTGCCTTAGGCTACACAGCTGGCAAATGGCGGAAGAGAATTGGAACCCAGGTTGCCTTACACAGGCAGTCCATCTTTCATCACTCATTTCACTGCCTTTTCAGTGAAGTTCCCAGCTGCTTTTCTAGCCTGCTGAACAAAGGCAGTTCTGGATTTTATTTTGATAGTATGTTAGTGTGGGTTTATAGGTTATAAATTAATTACCACAGTGTACGTTATTTTCTTTAATGATAGTAAGCTGGGTCCTCTCTTTTCAAACTCAGGGATGGTGAAGACCCTGCAACAGCTTTACCATAACCCGGGCCTTGGCTGCCTTGCAGCTGGGCTGGCTGTGCTTTCTCCTGAGTGTAGTGTAGCTGCTGAAGCTGGATGGTCACAGCTGGGCTGCATTGTGGTCTATTTGATTGACAGTATTCTCTGGAAACAGAAATGCTTTGGACTGATGGAATACTTTGAATAGAGGAAACCTGTCACACAGGAAGATTTTGAAAGGCTTTCGTCAAAAATATTGGCCTTTTCTGGGGTCACAATAACTGCAGTGTGCAGTAATGGCTCTTGAGAGTCTCAAGCTCCTGCCTTGGAGATGGTTGACACTGGTATCTATCATACTGTTTCTGGGGACTCTTGCTTTGCTAGGTCTTGCAATGAACTCAGGGTGAGGTTTCTATGCTGCCACTATTGATTTTCTTCTGAGTGCATTTCCTGGAGAGGTAGCATTGAGGTAAGAATCAGGTGCTTTGCAAAAGAACTGTGTGCACGAAGGCTTAGCCGTTTGCCTCCAGGCACAAGGGAAACAATTAGCTAACTGCTCTCCTGGGAACAACCCTGAGAGCCTGCCAAGAACACTCAAAGTAGAGAGCTGCCCTAGAGAAATTGGCTGTTTGGGGACCTCAGGATTCCTGTGCTGGAATCTGAAATTAACATGTCATTTGATGTCTAAGGAGAAGAAAGGTAAAAACAAATAAAAGCCTAGTATTTCCTCTGTGAAGAAAAAGTTGGTTAATTGAACAAATATACATAGAAGTAAAAATAATTTGGCAAATGTTGCTATCTTTTGCATGAATTTGTTTAAAAGTGAATAGATCTGTATTTGACTAGCTGTCCCTGGTGGTTCTTCCCTCGCAGGTTGCATCCCGCAGGGCGTTTGCTCTGCCATTTGTCTTGGGTATGGGGTTGGGGGAGTCCCTGGGATCATACCTACCGAGGCAGCCACTTCCTGTTCAACTTCTGCTGCCCCTTTGCCTGCTTGGCACAAGTTTTCCCATCACAGGCCAGGAACTGCACCAGTTCTCATACATCAAGCCTGCTAGTTCCTTCCTCTGTTTACTAGCAAGGGCACATCCAATCTGCTTAAGTTCCTCTTTGGGCAATGCTTATTTCACAAAAGAAAATACTAGGTGTATTAGTCAGGGTTCTCCAAAGAAACAGAACCGGTAGAATGAATATGTATAGAGATTTATCAGCTTAGCTCACAGGATAGAGTCCGAGTAGTCTAGTCGCACAGTCCACAAGGCTGGATGTCTCAGTAGTCACAATCTGGCACTGAAGGTCTGATGAATTCCAAAAGATCAGCTCGTCTTCAGTCTATAACAGCAAGGTGAACTCACCAGTGAGAGAGAAGGCAAGCAGCAAAAAAGCCTGGTGTTCTGCTCTGCCTTGGTCTTTTATACTGTCTGCCATCAGAAGGTAATGCCCACATTTAGGGTGTGTCTTCCAGCTTTAGACGATCCAATCAAGAAGATCTCTTTCATTTCAGTTAATCCCAGATC